ATTTAACTCCCGTTTCACTATTTCTCTCGGTTAATTTCTTATGCAGAAAAATCTTTGCTCAATTGAATTTTCTTGTTATGTTAATTCAAACAAATTACCTACCCACTAATTTTAAGCGACCGTCTTTTAAATATTTTAACAATATAACGTTATTATAACAATAGAGATCGATCATGGAAATTATTGAATACTTGATAGATTTACCTGTGTTGTTTTGAGCAATTTGCATGATGAATAACAAGTTAATAGGTTAGTTAAGTCAATGCAAATAAACGGAGATGGCAAGGTTAACCAGTCAGATTTAAAGGGCGGGCATGTAAATTCGGTTAACTTAACCTCGCTCTGCCCACTGACGAAACTTTCAGTTGAGCCGCACTGCAAGGTATTTCTATTCCAGTCCACATTCTAGTGAATAAATAACTACGATATTTACCATTCAGAGAATCAGATAATGAACAATAATGCCATCCATCATAATTGCCCCAAACTTACGAATGTTTTAAATTTTCCAATACTAAAGTCATTCCATCCTATGATGGAATAGCTTTTCAGCCAAATAGTCAGTTGGATATTGTATATACAACTGACTGTACATTACTGAACATTAATATATGAACAACTAACTGAGTGCATATTAAAACATTAAAATAATAAACAATTTACGTCCGCTCAAGCAAAGGTTCAATAAAACAGTCAACTTCTGCACCAGGGCAAGCATATGTGATCGCATCGACTACTGGTGGTTGTTCGCTGTCCAGGGTCTATTGTGTTGAGTTATGCGTTAAGTAGGTCAATTTTACATGATATCTGCCAAATCAAGTATGATATATGTTAAACTTTCAATGGCATCGGCCTAACGAAATCCCTTGAGCAGGGATTAATAATTTCAAGAAATTGTTTATTTCCCATAAAAATTTAGATTTCAGTTTCAGATTTACCCATTGAGCAAAACGGCCATTATAGAAATACTGGAAATTATATAAGATTATTGTATTATATTATGTAATATATAAAACAACTCGAAGTAATCTCGCTGAAGTAACGGAAAGCCGGACCCTGTTCCGGCCTGAGGAGCGGCGGCCGCGGATGCGTTCATAAACGAGGCCACGTGAGACGCTAACGAGATCGCGGCTAATGAGAGGAAATTAGCCTTCCTCTCGAGCGTGATGTGAGGTGCCTGTGTCATAGTAAGGGGTAAATGAGGTGTACTATATATTCTATATAATCCAAGAGAATTGCTATATTGTACAAGAGGAGTTCAACATGATGCCCGTAAAATTATCTATATTGTCGGAAATTTGTTCTATATTATTTATGAATTGTGCTACATAGTCAAGTCAAAAAGGTGCTCTATTGTGTGGGAGGTATTCTAATTTTCCTAAGGGATGTGCAATATTGTGTAAGGGGTGTGATATATAAACTGTGCAAGAGGTGTTATATATTGTCCATTAGGGGCTCAATATCGGCCACCAGAAACCAGATAGGGGCAAAATAATGGTTTCCACGTTGGTGATCGCTTAGTAATGAAACCTGACGTGAAGTTCCTTGTTTTAATTGGGGATAACTATACCACCTGGGATTGAGACAAGTTGAAATCAATTTTGATTCGATAAATTTCAATAAACTCAGCAGTATTAAATCTTGGAGTCTTTTATCTCGCATGCTGCCAAAATTTATTTTCGCGTTGTGCCCTATGTCATTAATGACCTTTATACGCTTGCATGTCTCCCACTAAATTTTTATTTACAGATTGGGAATGCGTTATGAAGTACTGTTAGAGGAAAGAAAAATCCTTATATTATATATCCACATTTTACGAAAAACATACCAGCGATGAATGTAACTTAGATTCATGAAAATATTCAGACAAAAAGTTATTTGCTGAAAAATTATGCACTCGCTGAATTGCTCTGTAATGTCAATAGTGTTTTGTTCTTGCCCTGCAGCACTTGAATTTTCAACGAGCAGTTGTAAACCTTCCCAAGTGATGAACTTGTTCAGAAGAATGCGTGTCTAATGACTTGACAACGCAGACCTTGCAAGATGCGGAGCTCTTGAAAAATTTAATTGGTCGTAAAAGCACCGTGCATGAAAATCAGGATGAGCTTCAATTGTATACAACAAGCACTCAGATTTCCGAGAAAAATGTTACATATAAGCTTTTCATCTTGATCTCAGTCATTATTATTTTTTTATTTAAAAAATAAAAATATAAATTATAGTGCCTCTTTCTACCGTGTTATATGATTAATGAGCATTTTGGTCTTCATTGGAAAGCTGAGTTCTCTTCAATTAACTTGATCCAAACTTGCTTTTACTACATTCAAATTTTATCCTAAGTTCGAGATAGAATGTCTAGTTTCTAGATGGAACATAACTAAATGCCGTTTACATTGTACTTTAAATTATAGGTCACTCAGTTATTTGTACTGATATTTGAAATAAAAATTTTTCTAAGATTTCAAGAATATTAATAGTGAACCAGCAGCAAAACACGAGACCTCCAAGTAGAAGAAGTATGCAGACCATTACAAGACTGAAGACGTTCACGCATCACGCTTGATTTGCAGTGTCGGGTGCTGAACAGAGTGAGAATGTCGACACAAATGAACTGACGAGCGTGACACTCGCACCACATGGCAGTTCCTGGTGAACACACATGCTATGAAGTCTTCATGATGATTAAACATTGTTTAATGTGTTCTTGGTGAATATACACGGTATGAAGTCTTCATGGTGATTACACATTGTTTAATGTGTTCTATGTGAACACGCATGGTATGAAGTCTTCATGATGAACACACATGCTATGAAGTCTTCATGATGATTATACATTGTTTAATGTGTTCCTGGTGAACACACATGCTATGAAGTCTTCATGATGATTATACATTGTTTAATGTGTTCTTGGTGAACACACTTGCTATGAAGTCTCCATGATGATTGCACATTGTGTAATGTATTTCTGGGGAACTCACATGGGTATGAGGTCTTTATGATGATTACACATTGTTTAATGTGTTCTTGGTGAACACACATGGTATGAAGTCTTCATGATAATTACACATTGTTTAATGTGTTCCTGTGAACACACACTGTATGAAGTCTTCATTATGATAACGTACATTGTATAATGTGTTTCTGGTAGTATTACTCATAGTGAAGGGCCATAACGGTGTAAATTTAGAGAACTGTTTTTTAAGTCAGTGCGTACCTATATGAACACACTCAGCATAATTATCAACGCTCACACAACACATGCACGTGTTTTACATGTTTTACCGAGCTCTGCTCTAGGGCACTTTGTATTTCTCATTTACCGCCGATCAGATTACTGAGACACCGACGAGCCCACCCCATACCCTCTCTCTACTCGCTCGTTGCCTTCACCCTCCCCTCGCTCTAACTCATCTCATTCTCTCTACCCTCCCTTGCTTATCTCTGATTGCTCTTCAAATTCTCTCGCCTCATTCCGTCTGCTCTTCAACTCTCTCCGCCTTCGCTCTACCCACTCCCATAAATTTCTCTACCGTTTCGTTACCTTCGTTCTGCCTTCTCTTTTCTATATCTGTTACTTGTAGCTATCTCCTCTTTTTCAGCAGTTGCGTTACTCTTCATTTTGTCTCTGCATTATTTTTGCCCTCACTCATACCATCACCTTGCCCTCAGACAGAAACTATATTCACAGGCACTGTCTTCACAAAAAAAACACCCCAATGAATACATTTATTTATTTATATACATGGGTGTTTTGCATGAGCTATGTCGGTTGTCTAATTTCCAAACAACAAATTCAACAATTTCTTGTTAATAATTATCTGCAACAAAACTTTAGTGCTTTAATTATGTAAGTTTCTTATAAATTAAGATATAGACGGTAATTGAAAGAATCTTTTAGGTTCAAATATTTATTTGCAATAATCATAAGGTTAAGGTAACGCAGCAAGTATTTACATAGCATCGCTATCGACTAGCTGATAAGAGGTATTCAGTTAATTGCATGGCACCTGCGACGGCTGTGAGGAGTTTTGTATGTACACGTGCGACTAACTTTATTCGTAGGAACACTTCGCTGCAAGCCATAAGTGGCAAACCCAACATCTGTAACTCTACGATTGGGAATTAACATTAATTTTAGAGCAAATACGTTCAATTCCAGTGCAGTACGTATTTGCGCCGCGAATTTCTTTAATATCATAGATTTGGCTAATTAGTACGACCTATTTTCTCAAGTGCATAGTGGGAACAATTATTAATGGAAGTTGAATCCTGAACTTCAATCACATTATTCGTGACTAGTTATGGAGCTATTGGATCCAAACAGTCACACTGAAAGGGATATTAATTTACTCTTTGTATTCCTAAAAACTTAAATGAACGTAAATCAGTCTCCACTGAGATAAATTATTTCCGAAAATTTTTAATGTTTAGCTTCGATTTTTCCAAGTTGCCTTCATCAACACAGAATCTTAATTAAAGAAAAATAAACCTGATAAATCATGGTCTTTTTATCTCAATAACTAATATTTTTTCTCAGAGAATTTTCAAATTATAGAATTTTTTTCAGGAGTAAACATAAAATCAATTAAATATTGAGTATAGTTTAGAAAGAATTTGATCGTAGTATTGTATTCAGTATCCAAATGTTGAATAATTCAATTTTTTCTGTCATTTCTTGCTCCCAGTTAAATTCAAGAGTCGTGTACAGTTTTAGCTCGCTGCAATAAGATCTGCTTCACGAATCAATTGAGTCTTTTCAACGATTAATTTCTGGGCTTACTTTTATTACTTTACATTTTTGTGTGAAGCATAGGAGCGAATTGACAGAACTAAAGACAGAACTAAGGACTGGTCATTGAGGAGTGGCCGAAGGCAACGTGTACCAAGTATTGCGGTGTAGACTGCATGGGTATACGTGACACATAAAGCCAAGGCTGGTGCATCAGACCACCTTGTATGCATCACCAACTAAGCCGATATGTACTTCCAAACCAGATGAAGTAGGCAAGTGAGATAGGTAGAATAGTACAATAAATCAGGTGGTGTAGGCTACCGGTACATATGCGTTAATTACATATTACCAAGATAGATGAAGTTGGCTAGCGAACCAGTTGGTTTAGGATATGTAGCCTGGTGGTCTGGGCAACTGGGCCACGTACCACCTGGCTATCGAGGCCAGTTGAAATAGACTACCAGATGGTGCGGGCTACCAGGCCAGGTGGTGGTGGTTCAGGCTACCTGGCCAGATGGTGGAGGTAGAGGGCGGTGAGGTTGGCAGGATGAGGACCGAGTGTCCTGTAAGCCAGAGGAGCAGGGCACAGCAGAGGGGGTGGATGGAGCAGGGAGCTGTGCAGGTTCATGGGGGGCGGGGGTTCATGAATACTGGGTGCGTTAACATCCAGCCCCGGGTTCTGCTTCTTCCATTTCGTACGTCGATTCTGGAACCAAATTTTCACTTGGGTTTCGGTCAGGCTCAGAGCGAGTGCGAGGTTGAGACGCTCACACACGCTCAGGTAGCGCGTGTGTTTGAATTTGTTCTCGAGGGACACGAGCTGCTCGTAGGTGAAGGCAGTCCTTGCACGGCGTGGCTTGCCGCCGTTGCTGCCGCCGCTGCCAGGGCCCGAACTGCCGCTGCCCCCGCCGTCAGATTGGTCGTCTTTCTGGCGCACCGAAGACTCGCCGCTCGCGATGCTGCCGCGGTCTTCGTCGTCCGAACAAACTGAAGGGAAAAGAAATATTCGTTAATACAGATTCATCTTTGGGAAAAGTTGAAGGTAAAGCATAAGCCTTCGCTATTAAAGGTTTCATTGCCAGAGCATAATTAAGGGAAGACAAAAACATTCATTAATATAGATTCATCTTTGGGAAAAGTCGAAGGGAAAACATAAGCATTCGCTGTTAAATGTTCAATAAGCAGAGCAAAATGAAGGAAAGACAAAAACATTTGTTAATGCAGATTAATATGTTGGGAAAAGGTGAAGGGGAAACAAAAGAATTCAATAAAAGAGATTATACAGTTGGGAAAAGGTGAGGGGAAAACATGAACATTCTTTATTAAAGCTTCCATCAGCATGAGCCAACTTGCAGGGATATGAAAAAAACATTCGTTAGTACAGGTTAAATTCATTGCAAAAAGTGAAGGGGGTACACAAGCATTCGTTATTAAATCGTAATTGAAGGTTTCATCGGTGGGGCAAACTGAAGAGACGAATGAAATAATAATTTAATGAAAGTTTAATTTTTTGGTTTCAAAGGAAAGCCTAAGTAATTCACTATTCAGACTGAAAGTTTCATAAGATTCGTCAAGCTTTTCAATATATAAATATATTTTTTGGGGGGTAGAGGCATTGATAAATTGGCGTGTGATAGTCATCGATTAACATTGTGTGTTCTTGATTGATAAAGTAAATATTAATAAAGTATAAAATTTGGGTTATTTTCCTTGCTGTAACAATTTCGGTCATTTGTTTCTGTAACGAAAATATATTATTAGTTGGAAAAGACAAAGAACCATCATTTAATTTTCTTAAACCGAAATTATGGAAACGAACTTCTTTGCTTTCACAAAATATAATTATAAAATCTATGCGAATCGATAACATCAACAAGTATGCAGCTAATAACTGAGAAAATAAAAAATTTGCTTAAATTTCAATTTTTGAACATCAGATATGACCACCGACGCTCCACTAATATTACGGTTATAACTCTAATGGAAATGCGTGACTAGAAACTAAATTTTGCTTCAAACTGAATTTCAAACCTGAAAGAGTTTGAAATAATGTAAATAAATAGGAACTTTAGGGTGTATCTGTGATACGTATTGTGAATATGAATCAGTCTGAATAATTAATATAATAAATGAAAATCTAATTATTAATCTAGAAGGAGAATCAACATTCCGGCGACATGTATCATGTTTCATAAATTGTTTTACCCTCCTACATGTTTGATGAAATTTTTCGGGTTATTTTGCTTAGGATTAATGGAATTGTATTATATTTTGTTATGGGTCTTTTGCTTGACTGTGGTAATTTTTTTAAGTGTTCCAGTTAATAGTTAATAACTACCGTATTCCTGTATGAATTCGCCAGATTTGTTGATATTCTGGGGTTACCTATATATACGCTAAGTCTACCTTGGATATTTCCATGTAGAAATCGTCCCAATGGAAATAAGTTTTCGTATCATAGGAATACGACATGTCTGCCTCATATCAATTCCCCATACAAATCACCAATCAATCGCAGGCAATGTAAATGGGGACAAATAGGCTTAGGAATTTTGCCATTCACTTCCATTAAGATTTGGTGCAAATCTTAGCGCGTCAATTTAGGCTTAGCCTTCGCGCTGGGCGTTGGTAGGGGAGATCTGATGCGCTATAACAGCGCTGCTATTCTCCGGCCTGTTCGTTGATTTAGCGCATATTTAGTTTATCCTCATTTCCTGAAATAAGTTTGATGAATCAAACAAGTTTCTATTATTTGTTCATGAATGCTGATGATTTAATTTCGAGAAAAGAATAATATCGTTCTTCAATAATTGATTGATAAAGCCACAGTAAATCAACAATCCTTGAAATCTTCTTAATGTGTTTATCATTTCACCCATTGAAGTATGTTATTTATTTCACTAGATATGAATTTAATGAATAGGATAATTTTATTCGTTGTGATTTCAAGTATACTAGTGGTATATACTTTCAGACGGGCAACAATCAATGAATTTTTTTCAAATCCCGATTCTTCCGAATCTGGCTTAGGCTTTTTGCGTGTCGGCATTTGTGAAGGCCTGGGACGGACTTTATCCAGTGCAGGTGTTGGATTAAGTGAGGGACGTTAACACTGTTCACATTATGGCTGTTTGCCCTGTATGCAATTGCTGTATAGGCAGGCCTCAATTGCTGCTATTTTCTATGCTGCTAGTGCTCTTATTTGAATGATTTTGCCTTGTGACCCATACCATTTTATGGTTTGTAGCTAAATTGATTTGTGACTTATAGCACAATGGATCCTATTTTAATGATAATTTTTTTTATTATGTGGGACAATGAGAACAGGACAATACGTTCTGGTTTTCGATGTTAGCTCTTGTTTTAGTTTTTATATCTGTCTGAGAAAATGGACTTATAGAATTATTTTATTCATTTTTAGTTTGTCGAACAGCTGATGCAGCTGGACTCCGAAGCGTTTTCAATGTCGATATAGTGAATTTGCTTGGAGTTTTCTTTGCTTTTAAATTCCTTGTGAACTTGCGATATAAGCAGACTAATAATAAAAGATTCAAGAGTTTATTAACACAGATTTAAGAATTGATTAAGGTGCATTGAAGGGTTGTTTAGGACATATTTGAGAGTTGATGAAGAAGAAAACTAAGGCCAAAACGCGGTGCCGCCAGCGACACTGCGCGTCCAGCGGCGCTAGAAACCCGCACGCCACGGCCACCCCGACAGTAATGGATTCCTACTGGGAATTGCCTATTGATTCCTGAGACTCCTTTTTGAGAGAGAGTAGGGCATGGGAGGGGGTGGAGAAGGAGGGGCAGCGAGGGATGAGAGGAAAGGAGAGAGTGAGAGTGAGTGAGATAGGGTGGAAGGATGGGAAACGAGCTAGAGACGGAGAATGTGCGAGGCATGGGAGTGGGGGGAGGAGGAGGGGCAGCGAGGGATGAGAGGTGGGTGAGGGACGGAGAGAGTGAGAGTGAGATAGGGTGGAAGGATGAAGAACGTGCTAGAGAGGGAGAGTGAGCGAGGGAGGAAGCGTCGGGTAGTGAAGGATTTTTTGGTTGGAGAAAGAAAGAAAACCCAGTTTGAGAGTAAAAAATGGAGTGTGGAGATCGAGGGAGAATGTAAATGGAGAGGATGAGTTGGAAGTAGATTGATTGTTAGTAGTTAGTTAGGAGGAAGTAGATTGAGCGAGGAAGAGTGAATGAGAGAGAGAAATTTTAAAGTGAGTGAGAGTGTAGATATGGGAGAGTGGAGATCGAGTTATAGTTTAGATAGTGTAAGAGTGTGGAGAAGAAGGAAGATGGTATGAGGTGGATGAAAATGACAAATGAGGATCGGACGCTGAGAGAAAAACTACAGGGTTATTCTAAATAATGGACCCAATTTAATAAATTCGTATTTATTCAAGTCCAAATTCCAATTGAATAACTTGTACACCAATGGAAAGAGAAATATTCAATTTTTTTAACCTATCAAACGCGAAATTGGGTGTTTGAATAGGTTTAAATTGGCATCTTGACGTTCGTAACTTTTTGAATTTGTGATTTCCTGAGCGTTGGGTGTAACCCATAGGAGATGAAGATCAGGCTCTACACTTCTGGCCACCGAGATCACCTGATCCCACCCATGCATGTGACAATTTCTTATGGGGTTACGTCAAGGAAGCTGTTTACGTCCCGCCTCTACCAGCAACTCTGTTAACGTCCCACCTCTACCAACAACTCTGTTTACGTCCCGCCTCTACCAGCAACTCTGTTTACGTCCCGCCTCTACCAGCAACTCTGGTTGATCTGGAGAACCGTATCACTGCTACGGTGCACTCAGTAACAGAAGATATGCTTTCTCGTGTGTGAGACGAGTTTGGCTGCCGTTCAGATGTTTGCCGTGCAGCACAAGGGGGACATATTCAACTTTTATAAATAACATTTTATAATTGAACATATTGAGCATTTATAAATAAGCAAATCTTTTTTCAGTCGTTTATAAATTATTTATTTTGAATTTGTACTTATACAAGTACGAATTTATTGAATCGGATCCATTATTTAGAATAACCCTGTATTTTGTCTCAGCTGGAGCTTTCTTCTCACAAGCGTTTTATTTATTCTGTGCAAGAAAATTGTTCATCAGCCATTTTGAATTGAATGTCTAATAATATATCTATTAATATTCTATTTATATATAATTGGTACGTGATGAGCCTCAGATTCATAATGGTAAGAACCTGAAGTAAATAAATATATATCGAAGAAACCCATAGGAAAGTAATTTAAGATATTGTATCGGTATATATGATATTGCAAGTGATGAAGTGAATGCTACTAATCATTCAATATATGATGAAAGGCAAAAACAATCATGCATTTTCACCCAAAAAGTTAATTAAATATCTGGGCTAAAATCCGTAGACTTCCATGGCTCACACTTCCCGCTCCGATTACAGTCGAGCAATAACCCGTCATTAAGGTGTACGGTAATAGATTCAACGGTGATTTCAAAAGTATTATATCAAATTGAAACATATATTATAAGCTCTAAATATAATCTCATTTTCGGTTAGGTTAAAAGTATTATATCAAATTGAAACATATATTATAAGCTCTAAATATAATCTCATTTTCGTTTAAATTATGAAATCGAATTAACGTTTACTAAAATAGTTGAAAAATATTTCCTCAACTCCACAATTAAGCCCTAATTGAGAATAAAAATTTAAAATAAACAATTTATCAAATTGAAACATATATTATAAGCTCTAAATGTAATTTCATTTTCGTTTGAAATATAAAATCGAATTAACGTTTACTAAAATAGTTATAAAATATTTCCTCAATTCTACAATTAAGCCCTAATTGAGAATAAAAATTTAAAATAAACAATATGTACTAACTCCCATGCAGAAATAAATTTTTCAAGTAGTTTTCTAGCTTCATTAGCAAATATATTGACCAAGTACTGAAGCTAATTTTCATGAAAGCGTTAAATGTAGTTAT